CAAGGCACCCCTCCTCTCATTGGTCCCCCCAGGGGAGTGGATGTGCCCCGTCTTGGGGGTAGCAGTGGGTGGAGAACCAAGCCACCTCCATGCATTGCTGGCCTTGGCTGGGAAATCAGGTTGTGTGCACCACCCCAGGAAAAGAGGCGTTCCTCAGGGAGGCACCCTGGCTCAGCAGCGGGCTGTGACAGAGTGGGGAGGGGGCCAACCAGTGCGCCCGCCCACCTGCCCCCTGCAGCCTAAGCTGCCTGGTCCCTTCAGGCCCAGTGGGCTGTCTCTTGGGCATTCCCCCAGCCAGCCCTTACCAGGGGCTTGTGGAGACAAGTCGTGCAGGCAGGGTGGCTGAAAAGGCACAGTAACATCCACACATCCAGAAATTCTAAGCACTGTTTCCCAAGTCACGGCAGATCAGAACACTGGAGACTGCCCTGCCCCTGACTCTGGGCTGAGCGAGGTATACACCACAGCGTGCAGCCCATCAGAACCCCCCAGGAAAGCCATCCATGTGAGTGGACCCCGTGTGCCCAGGAGAAAGACATCTGGCCACGGCAGTGACAGGGCCTGTCCCCTGAGTAGTTGGCACGTTTTCCCTTCTGTCTCATCTTCTAAAAGCCAAGGGCCAAGTGCGTGGTCCGCCATCTCATTCCATCCCCACTGCCCCCAACTCCCACTTCCCTCTTGGGTTGAGGTGGGTGTCCACGCACACGTGCACTTGGAGAGAGACATGCATCAGCCCACGTGGAGGTGTGGTGTCTGGATGGTCTCGAAAGGGCAGAGATGTTACTCATCCGGGATCTAAGAGGTGCCTGGCCAGGTGGGAAAGGGGGACCCTCAGGTACCTTCCCGTGGGGTCATATCTTTAAAAGATTCGGTTGCCTTTAGCTCCGTTCAACAAAAGCCATCTCCTTCTCCAGTACCAATACCTCCTGGGTTACCTTGCCTACCGGGCGGGGTGAGGGTGGCCCCTCCCTGCCGTCTCAGGCCTAAGTTAGGCTGGGTTAGGATCACCCGAGGGGTGAGTCTGTCCTGGGAGAGGGACGGACCGAGGGTGTGGGGGATCCCTCTTCCGGCCCCGAAGGTCCCACTGGGCCGAGGAGGGTGGCAGAGATCAGGAAAGTGTTTCCTTCTGCTTCCACTAACGAACTCTGCAAAATTAAGTTATTTCACCTCCATGAGAATTTTAAAAATGAGAAGGTTGGACCTGGACCCCTGAGCTCCTTTCTGATAGTGACTTCCGGTGATTCAGAGCCTTGCTGGCCGGCGGACCAGCAGCAACTGGGAGCTTGCTGGAAACGCAGAATCTTGTAAATAAAATTCGATATAGCTCCCAGTACAGTGGAACATGATTCACCCATGAGAGGGAATGAAGCACTGGTACTTGGTGCTGAACCTTGAAAAGTTTCTGCCGAGTGACAGCAGCCAGACACGAAAGAGAACACCGTGTGTATCGCTTGACGTGAAGTGTCCAGAATAGGCAGATCCACAGACGGGAAGCACGTTAGGAGTGTCACCTTTCTGAGACGGATGGAAAATTCTGCAGTTAATCGTGGCAGCTGCACAACCTTATGCATGTACCCAAAGCACTGAAATGTCTGCTTTAAAATGATGAATGTTTTGGTATGTTAATTACGTAGTAGCAGCAGGAGTCCCACCCCTGGGCAGATACCAGAGGAAACTCTAATTTAAAAAGATACAATGAGGTATCACCTCACACCAGTCAGAATGGCTGTCATTCAAAAATCC